TGTCCCAGTCTGGGGGGTCCTCAGCCAGTGTAGGGGGTTCTGAACCAGTTTGGGGCGACCCAAAACCAGTTTGGGGGCACCCAGAACCAGTTTGGGCCAGTTTGGGGGGTCCTCAACCAGAGTGGGGTGTCCCTGTCCCAGTTCGGGGGGTCCTGAGCCAGTTTGGGGGGTCCTTGTCCCAGTTTGGGGGCTCCTTTCCCAGTTTGGAGGCCAATATTTCCATTTTTCCTGGGAATTCTCCCCCCCATTCCCACCTTTCCCCTGTCCCTAATTCCAGGATTTTCCCCTGACTTTTCCCAATTTTCCCCGATTCCTCCTGATATTTCCCGTGACTTTTCCCAACTTTTCCCCAATTTTCCCCCTGACTTTTCCCAACTTTTTCCCTGACTCCCCCCAATTTTCCCTGTGACTTTTCCCATCTTTTCCCTCAATTTTCCCCCTGACTTTTCCCAACTTTCCCCCTGACTTTCCTCAATTTTCCCCCTGACTTTTCCCAACTTTTCCCCTGATTCCTCCTGATTTTTCCCCTAATTTCCCTCAATTTTCCCTGTGACTTTTCCCAACTTTTCCCTCAATTTTCCCTGTGACTTTTCCCAACTTTTCCCCAATTTTCCCTGTGACTTTTCCCAACTTTCCCCCTGACTCCCCTGACTTTTCCCAACTTTTCCCCAATTTTTCTCTGACTTTTCCCAGCTTTTCCCCAATTTCCCCGCTGACTTTTCCCAACTTCTCCCCAATTTTCCCCCTGACTTTTCCCAATCTTACCTCCCCCCAATCCCCATTAATTAACCCCCACTAATTAATTTCCTCACTCATTCTCTCCCCAGGTCCCTCCCCCCCCCATCCCCCTTTCCCCACATCCCTTGGGAGCTTCCAGAAACTTCCAGAAACTTCCAGAAGCTTCCAGCAGCTCCCAGCAGCCCCGGCCAGTCCTGGAAGGTTCCAGAAGGTTCTGGAAAGTCCCAGAAGGTTCCAGAAGGGCCCGGAAGGTTCCTTAAGGTCCCAGAAGGGCCCAGAAGGTTGCAGAAGGTCCCAGAAGGCCCTGGAAGGTCCCGGAAGGTTCCAGAAGGGCCCGGAAGGTTCCTTAAGGTCCCAGAAGGTTCCGGAAGGTCCTGGAAGGTTCCAGAAGGCCCCGGAAGGTCCCGGAAGGTTCCAGAAGGGCCTGGAAAGCTCCTTAAGGTCCCAGAAGGTTCCAGAAGGTCCCAGAAGGTTCCTTAAGGTCCTGGAAGGGTCCGGAAGGTCCCAGAAGGTTCCTTAAGGTTCCAGAAGGTTCCGGAAGGTTCCAGAAGGGCCCAGAAGGTCCCGGAAGGTCCCAGAAGGTTCCAGCAGGCCCCGGAAGGTTCCAGAAGGTTCCGGAAGGCTTTCCTGGGAATTCCCACCTTTCCCCTGTCCCTAATTCCAGGATTTTCCCCTGACTTTTCCCAACTTTCCCCTGATTCCCCAAATTTTCCCCGTGACTTTTCCCAACTTTTCCCCCATTTTTCCCATTTTTTTTCCAGCTTTTCCCCAATTTTCCTCCTGACTTTTCCCATGACTTTTCCCAACTTCTCCCAATTTTCCCCCTGACTTTTCCCAACTTTTCCCCAATTTTCCCCTGACTTTTCCCAAATTTCCTCCAATTTTCCTCTGACTTTTCCCCAATTTTTCTCTGACTTTTCCCAACTTTCCCCCTGACTCTCCTCAATTTTCCCCCTGACTTTTCCCATCTTTTCCCCTGATTCCTCCTGATTTTCCCCCTGACTCCCCCCAATTTTCCCCCTGACTTTTCCCAACTTTTCCCCAGTTTTCCCTGTGACTTTTCCCAACTTTCCCCCTGACTCCCCCCAATTTCCCCCTGACTTTTCCCATCTTTTCCCTGATTCCTCCTGATTTTTCCCCTAATTCCCCTCCATTTCCCCCTGACTTTTCCCAGTCCTGGGATCGGCCCCCGGGCATGGAGAAATTTTTGATTTCCCAGAAGTTGGAATTTGGGAGGTTTTGGGCAAATCATGGAAGATTTGGAGCTGCTGTTCCCACTTCTTAGTGATGGGAAAGGAAGAATTTTGCTCATTTGAGGGATAAATTCCATGGAATTATCTCTGGAATATTCCTGGGATCGCCCCCCAGGGATGGAGAAATCCGGGATTTCCCTGGGGGTGGAGTTTGGGAGGTTTTGGGCAAATCCTGGGAGATTTGGAGCTGCTGTTCCCACTTCTTAGTGATGGGAAAGGAAGAATTTTGCTCATTTGAGGGATAAATTCCATGGAATTATCTCTGGAATATTCCTGGGATCGCCCCCCAGGGATGGAGAAATCCGGGATTTCCCTGGGGGTGGAGTTTGGGAGGTTTTGGGCAAATCCTGGAAGATTTGGAGCTCCTGTTCCTGTTTTTGCTGAAGGAATTTTGCTCATTCCAGGGATAAATTCCATGGAATTATCTCTGGAATACTCCTGGGATCACTCCCTGGGGATGGAGAAATTTTGGATTTCCCAGGGGTTGGAGTTTGGGTGGTTTTGGGCAAATCCTGGAAGATTTGGAGCTGCTGTTCCCACTTTTTAGTGATGGGAAAGGAAGAATTTTGCTCATTTGAGGGATACATTCCATGGAATTATCTCTGGAATATTCCTGGGATCACCCCCAGGGATGGAGAAATCCGGGATTTCCCAGGGGGTGGAGTTTTGGGGGTTTTGGGCAAATCCAGGGAGAAATTTTAGGCAAATCCAGGGAGAAATCAGGTTTTTATTGGAGTTTTTGCTTTTATTTTTTGCTCCTTTTTTGTGATGCAAAGGAGGAATTCTTCTCATTCCTGGGAGCTGCCATTCCTGTTTTTGCTGAAGGAATTTTGTTCATTTGAGGGATAATTCCTTGGAATTATCTCTGGAATAATTCTGGGATCACCCCCTGGGGATGGAGAAATTTTGGATTTCCCTGGGGTTGGAGTTTGGGTGGTTTTAGGCAAATCTGGGGAGAATTCAGATATTTATTGGAATTTGCACTCCCATTTTTTTGCTGATGGAAAGGAGGAATTTTGCTCATTCCAGGGGGAAAATCCCATGGGATCCTCACCCTGGAATCACCCTCAGAGCTGGATAAATCCCAATTTCCCCCAAAATGAAATTTAACTTTTTACTCCATCAACCCAAAGAAAATTCAGCTTTTTTGGGGAACCGCTGTTTCCTTTTTTTTGCTGAAGGAAAGGGGGGAATTCTGACCATTCTGGGTGGGAATTCCAGGATTTTTCCTGTTTCCAATCTTGGTTTTTCCTGGCAGGATGCCCTGGCAGGGGGACACCAACAACATGATCGACAGGTTCGACGTCCGTGCTCACCTGGATTTCATCCCCATGTACACCCCGGCCCTGCTCAGCCCCACGTAAGACTCCCAAAAAATTCCCATAAGATTCCCAAAAAATTCCCAAAGAATTCCCAAAAAAATTCCCATAAGATTCCCAAAAAATTCCCGTAAGATTCCCAAAAAAATGCCATAAGATTCCCAGAAAAATCCCGTAAGTTTCCCAAAAAAATCCCGTGAGATTCCCCAAAACATTCCCATAAGAGTCCTGAAAAAATTCCCATAAGATTCCCAAAAATTTCCAAAGCATTCCTGAAAAAATTCCCGAGGAATTCCCAAAAAAATTCCCTAGGAATTCCCAACAGTTTCGGAGCTGGGATCCTGCCAGGGCTGACCCAAAAAAATTCCCATAAGATTCCCAAAAAATTTCCGAGGAATTCCCAATGGTTTTGGGGCTGGGATCCCACCAGGACTGGTGGGAGGGTCCTAAATCCGTGTTTTGACCCCAAAATCTGCATTTGATCTCAGAAAATCCCTTGAAATTCCACTTTGGATCCATGAAATTCAATTTGGATGCTCAAAATCTGTCTTTGATGCCAATGATCCCTGTTTTAATCCCAAAAATCCACGTTGGATCTGTAAAAATGTGTGTTTGAGTGCCAAAATCTCCCTTTGGAGTCATAAAATCCATATTGGATCCCCAAAATCTCCCTTTGAACCTCGAAATCCCCATTTTGATCCAAAATCCCCTCAGAATTCCTATTTTTCCAACTCACCAGAGCAGGTATCAGATGCACACAAATATAACTATGGGTGGGAAGATTCCTAAAAATACGCTTTTTTCCCCCCTCAAGTTCAACCTTTTTAGCACAAAATCCTCGTTTGACCCTTAAAATCTACCTTTAACTCCCAAAATTCCCATTTTGAGCCCAACATCCCCTTAGAATTCCCATTTTTCCACCTCACCAGAGCAGGAATCAGACAAGTGCAAATGCAACTACAAGGAGTGAGGCCCTTATAATCCACTTTTTTTCCTCCAAATCCAGCATTTTTTAGCATAAAATCCTTGTTTGACCCTCAAAATCCACCTTTAACCCCCAAAATTCCCATTTTGATCCCAAAATCCCCTCAGAATTCCCGTTTTTCCACCTCATCAGAGCAGGAATCGGATGAGCGCAAATGCAACTGTGAGAGGGAAGGCCCTCATAATCCACCTTTTTTTCCCTCCAAATCCAGTTTTTTCCCCCCCAATCCACCTTGGGACCCCAAAATCCACCTTTAAGCCCCAAAATCCCCGTTTTGATCCCAAAATCCCCTCAGAATTCCCGTTTTTGCAGGTCACCGGAGCAGGAGTCGGACGAGCGCAAATGCAACTACGAGCGGTACCGGGGCCTGGTGCAGAACGACTTCGCTGGCAGTGAGTCCCTTTATTCCTGTTTTTTTTGGAATTCTGGCCCCTCTGGATCCCCTGGGGGTGGTTCCCGTGGGATTTAGGGAATGATTTGATCCCAAAATTCCCGATCCCAGTCTCGGAGGAGCAGTGCCTGTACCAGATCTACATCGACGAGCTCTACGGGGGCCTGCAGAAACCCAACGAGGATGAGAAGAAAAAGTGAGGGAAAAAAAGTCGGAATTCCTGGGAAATCACCGGGAATGCACCCCCACACCCTTGGGAATGATCCTAATTCTGGGATAATGCCCCCAGTCCCAGTATTCCCATTCCCCCTCACAATTCCCCTTTTCCCTCACAATTCCCCCTCACAATTCCCATTTTTCCTCAGAATTCTGATTTTCCCTCACAATTTCCCCTCAGAATTCCCATTCCCCTTCATGATTTCTAATTCTGGGATAATGCCCCCAGTCCCAGTTTTCCCCTCGCTCCTTTGCTGGAATCTCCCCCAAAACCATCCTGGGAAGGGCTCCTGGTTTTGCCTGGGGGGTTCTGGCTTGGGATTCCCATTTTTCCTTGGGATTCCTCAGAGCTCCCATTTTTCCTTGGAATTCCAACTTGAAAATCCCTTTTTCCCTCAGAATTCCTGTTTTCCCTCATAATTCCACCTCAGGCCTCTCATTTTTTCCTTGAGATTCCCTTTTTTCCTCACAGTTTCCTCTCAGAATTCCCATTTTTCCTCAGAATTCCCATTTCCCCTCACAATTCCCCCTTACAATTCCTTCTCAGGGCTCTCATTTTCCCTCACAATTCCCCTTTTCCCTCACAATTCCCATTCCCCCTCACGATTCCCATTCTCCCTCAGAATTCCCATTTTCCTTCAGTATTCCCATTTTCCCTCATGATTCCCCCTCACAATTCCCCTCACGATTCCCCCTCACAACTCTTTCTCAGAGCTCCCATTTTCCCTCACAGTTTCCCCTCACAATTCCCATTTTCCCTCACAATTCCCATTTCCCCTCACAATTCCGCATCATTTTCCCTCACTATTCTCCCTCACAATTCCCATTCCCCCTCACAATTCCCCTTTTCCCTCACAGTTCCCCCTCAGAATTCCCATTCCCCCTCATGATTCCTTCTCAGGGCTTCCATTTTCCCTCAGAGTTTCCCCTCACAATTCCCATTTTCCCTCACGATTCCCATTTTCCCTCACGATTCCCATTCTCCCTCACGATTCCCATTCCCCCTCACAATTCCCATTTTCCCTCAGAGTTTCCCCTCACAATTCCCATTCCCCCTCACAACTCTTTCTCAGAGCTCCCATTTTCCCTCACAGTTTCCCCTCACAATTCCCATTTTCCCTCACAATTCCCATTTCCCCTCACAATTCCGCATCATTTTCCCTCACTATTCTCCCTCACAATTCCCATTCCCCCTCACAATTCCCCTTTTCCCTCACGATTTCCCCTCACAATTCCCCCTCATTTTCCCTCACAATTCCCCCTCAGAATTCCCCTTTCCCCTCACAATTGCCCTTTTCCCTCACGATTCTCCCTCACGATTACCATTTTCCCTCACAATTCCCCCTCACAATTCCCCTTTCCCCTCACAATTCCCCTTTTCCCTCACGATTCTCCCTCACGATTATCATTTTCCCTCACGATTCTCCCTCACAATTCCCATTTCCTGTCACGATTCCCCTTCACAATTCCCATTCCCCCTCAACGATTCCCCCTCACAATTCCCCTTTTCCCTCATGATTCTCCCTCACAATTCCCGTTTTCCCTCACAATTCCCCTTTTCCCTCACAGTTCCCCCTCACAATTCCCATTCCCCCTCACAATTCCCCCTCATTTTCCCTCACAATTCCCCCTCAGAATTCCCCTTTCCCCTCACAATTCCCCTTTTCCCTCCGAGGCCCTTCCCGGGCCCTGGGCCTTCCCGAGGGGATCTCCGCGCGGGGAGAAGCCCCGGGCTGGAGGGATTTGTGTCCCAAACCTCCCCAGGCTGGCGGAAAAAAAGGCTTCCATAGGCTACACCTACGAGGACAGCACGGTGGAGGAGCTGGAGAATTCCCTGGAAAAACGAGCCGGGGACGAGGAGGACTCCGAGGAAGACTCCAACACCGACGAGGACGAAGTGATCCCGGACATCGGTAACGCATCCGAGGCTTTCGGCCGGGATTCGGGGATCGTTGCCGGGCGGAATTCCAGGATTTTCCGGGCGTTTTTCCAGACGTGGAGGTGGACGTGGATGAGCTGAACCAGGAGCAAGTGGCCGACCTGAACAAGCAGGCCACCACCTACGGCATGGCCGAGGGGGATTTCGTCAGGTATGGCCCAGAAAAACCTCGGGAAGAGCCGGGATTCTACCCCAAAACCACCCTGGGGAGAGCTCCTGCTTTTCCTTGGCATTTTGGCTCGGGAATCTCATCTTCCCTTAGGATTTTCTCCTGGAAATCCCATTTTTCCCGGGGATTTTGGCTCAGGAATCCCATTTTCCCTTGGGATTCTTTCCTAGAAATCCCATTTTCCCTTAGGATTTTCTCCTGGAAATCTCATTTTTCCTTGGGATTTTCTCTTGGGAATCCCATTTTTCCTTGGGATTCTCTCCTGGAAATGCCATTTTTCCTCGAGATTGTCTCCTGGAAATCCCATTTTTCCTGGGGCTTTTGGCTCAGGAATCCCATTTTCCCTTGGGATTCTTTCCTCTAAATCCCATTTTCCCTTAGGATTTCCTCCTGGAAATCTCATTTTCCCTTGGAATTCTGCCTCAGATCTTCCTGGTTTTCCCTTTTCCCTGAGGTTCTGCCTTGAAAATGCCATTTTCACCTGAAATTCTGCCTTAAAAATCCCATTTTTCCCTGAAATTCCGGCTCAGGGCTCCCCCTTTTCCTCAGAATTTGGGATCTTCCCCCAAACCCCGACGAGCTCTACGGGGGCCTGCAGAAACCCAACGAGGATGAGAAGAAAAAGTGAGGGAAAAAAAGTCGGAATTCCTGGGAAATCACCGGGAATGCACCCCCACACCCTTGGGAATGATCCTAATTCTGGGATAATGCCCCCAGTCCCAGTTTTCCCCTCGCTCCTTTGCTGGAATCTCCTCCAAAACCATCTTGGAAATAGCTCCTGGTTTTGCCTGGGGGTTTCTGGCTTGGGATTTCCATTTTCCTCTCAGAATTCCAGCTCAGATTTCCCATTTTCCCTCAGAATTCCCGTTTTCCCTCACAATTCCCCCTCAGAATCTCCATTTTCCCTCACAATTCCCATTTCTCCTCACAATTCCTTCTCAGGGCTCTCATTTTCCCTCACAATTCCCCTTTTCCCTCACAATTCCCCCTCACAATTCCCATTTTTCCTCAGAATTCTGATTTTCCCTCACAATTTCCCCTCAGAATTCCCATTCCCCTTCATGATTTCCCCTCACAATTCCCATTCCCCCTCACAATTCCCCTCACGATTCCCCCTCACAACTCTTTCTCAGAGCTCCCATTTTCCCTCACAGTTTCCCCTCACAATTCCCATTTTCCCTCACAATTCCCATTTCCCCTCACAATTCCGCATCATTTTCCCTCACTATTCTCCCTCACAATTCCCATTCCCCCTCACAATTCCCCTTTTCCCTCACAGTTCCCCCTCAGAATTCCCATTCCCCCTCATGATTCCTTCTCAGGGCTTCCATTTTCCCTCAGAGTTTCCCCTCACAATTCCCATTTCCCCCTCACAATTCCCATTTTCCCTCACAATTCCCCTTTTCCCTCACGATTTCCCCTCACAATTCCCCCTCATTTTCCCTCACAATTCCCCCTCAGAATTCCCCTTTCCCCTCACAATTCCCCTTTTCCCTCACGATTCTCCCTCACGATTATCATTTTCCCTCACGATTCTCCCTCACAATTCCCATTTCCTGTCACGATTCCCCTTCACAATTCCCATTCCCCCTCAACGATTCCCCCTCACAATTCCCCTTTTCCCTCATGATTCTCCCTCACAATTCCCGTTTTCCCTCACAATTCCCCTTTTCCCTCACAGTTCCCCCTCACAATTCCCATTCCCCCTCACAATTCCCCCTCATTTTCCCTCACGATTTCCCCTCACAATTCCCATTTTCCCTCACAATTCCCCTTTTCCCTCACGATTTCCCCTCACAATTCCCCCTCATTTTCCCTCACAATTCCCCCTCAGAATTCCCCTTTTCCCTCACGATTCCCCCTCACGATTCCCATTTCCCCTCACAATCCCCCTTTTCCCTCCCCATTCCCCCTCACAATTCCCCCTCATTTTCCCTCACAATTCCCCCTCAGAATTCCCCTTTCCCCTCACAATTCCCCTTTTCCCTCCGAGGCCCTTCCCGGGCCCTGGGCCTTCCCGAGGGGATCTCCGCGCGGGGAGAAGCCCCGGGCTGGAGGGATTTGTGTCCCAAACCTCCCCAGGCTGGCGGAAAAAAAGGCTTCCATAGGCTACACCTACGAGGACAGCACGGTGGAGGAGCTGGAGAATTCCCTGGAAAAACGAGCCGGGGACGAGGAGGACTCCGAGGAAGACTCCAACACCGACGAGGACGAAGTGATCCCGGACATCGGTAACGCATCCGAGGCTTTCGGCCGGGATTCGGGGATCGTTGCCGGGCGGAATTCCAGGATTTTCCGGGCGTTTTTCCAGACGTGGAGGTGGACGTGGATGAGCTGAACCAGGAGCAAGTGGCCGACCTGAACAAGCAGGCCACCACCTACGGCATGGCCGAGGGGGATTTCGTCAGGTATGGCCCAGAAAAACCTCGGGAAGAGCCGGGATTCTACCCCAAAACCACCCCGGGGAGAGCTCCTGCTTTTCCTTGGCATTTTGGCTCGGGAATCTCATCTTCCCTTAGGATTTTCTCCTGGAAATCCCATTTTTCCCGGGGATTTTGGCTCAGGAATCCCATTTTCCCTTGGGATTCTTTCCTAGAAATCCCATTTTCCCTTAGGATTTTCTCCTGGAAATCTCATTTTTCCTTGGGATTTTCTCTTGGGAATCCCATTTTTCCTTGGGATTCTCTCCTGGAAATGCCATTTTTCCTCGAGATTGTCTCCTGGAAATCCCATTTTTCCTGGGGCTTTTGGCTCAGGAATCCCATTTTCCCTTGGGATTCTTTCCTCTAAATCCCATTTTCCCTTAGGATTTCCTCCTGGAAATCTCATTTTCCCTTGGAATTCTGCCTCAGATCTTCCTGGTTTTCCCTTTTCCCTGAGGTTCTGCCTTGAAAATGCCATTTTCACCTGAAATTCTGCCTTAAAAATCCCATTTTTCCCTGAAATTCCGGCTCAGGGCTCCCCCTTTTCCTCAGAATTTGGGATCTTCCCCCAAACCCCACCCTGATCCCTTTTTTTTTTT